CAGCACACTTTTTCATGAAGCAGGAAATTTCAAAGACAGTCCCACCTATATTGGCAGTCAGTCACGTTCTTCTGTGTCCTGCAGAATGTCTGGCAGACTCTGTCACGAAGCAGGAACCCTGAAGGACTGTCTCACCTTCTTAGGTAACTTTAGCAGTCATATCTCTGTGGGTCCTGCATGTACAGTTCACACAGCATACCATCAAGCAGTCCAGGCAAGAGCAGTTTCTTACCCTAATGGTTAACAAACTCCATAAGGAGACTCTTCAATACCCATCTTCCTCTTGAAGTAATTGGTGCTGCCAGGAACAGATGTGTCTCATTGTCATGAAAAAGTCCTAAGTTCTTAAAACATTTTAAATGCCAGATTCTGTAGTCTTTGAAAAATCTGAAGAATATCTATCCATCTGAAACACATCTCTCTACATCTAGAAAACCTAATTATTTGCCTACAAACTTGACTATTACAGATGACTATCTATTAACCTATATTTCTTAATTATACATTACATTTTTAAATGAGCTGTATAAACACAATACCTTAATAAAGAGCAGAAATATATATATAACAAAATTGACCTTAAATTTGTATCAGTAAGCCAAGATTCATACCAATGCACAGTATCCATCTGTAGCATATCCCCCTTTAAATGTAAACAAACATTTATAAACAATCATTTAGGGAATTTTGGTGTAGTTCTCTCCAAACTGCTTACTGTCAGCTGTAGACAGCAGCAGTGCTTAAGGCAGAATTGAATATATAAGCGACTGGCTTTCTTCTTCACCCTGCACAGCAGTCTCTGGGAAAGAGCTCAGTGCCTCAGTTACGAAGCCTTTATCTTGAGTCTCGTACAGACAGTGAAACAAATCCAGAAGTCTCAGCTGGGATGCGTAGGCGTCGTCCTTTTCTAATGCTTCCAGACACATAAGTAACTCCCTTCTATGTCCGTGGGTATTGTGGAGGTGAATGTTTCCTCCAGTTGGTGCACTTGCTCTTTATGCAGTAGACCAAAAAGAAAGCATTCCATCTGTTCCAAATGAGGGTCCTCAGAATGGCTGCTTTCAGGTAACAGATACAAGTTTTCGAAAGATTTGAGGGGATAGTCTTTTTTTCTGGATTCTCTCTTAATAAGTAGAACAAAGCCGCAAACAAACAAACAAACAAAAAACCTCCTGAACATGGAGGTAAGCAAATGCATAGCAGTTTTCATACTCTGTGTCCTCCTGAAGAACCTTCACATCCACGAAGACTGAGAAGTCGTTTCTGGTTAACTCATGCTTTCTGAGATTTTTCTTGTAGGGTATATGCTTCATAGTCCAAATACCTTCAGCAGCTGCCTGGCACAGGCTCCTCAGTAGGATTTCACTGGGCAGAGTAACAGAGCTCCCATCTGGCCGTGAAAATAAGCTGCAGACATAGCGTGTGAGCAGAGCAGGTCATTGCGACATTGCCGCCTTTCTCCACTTGCTGCTTCCGACCAGCACAGACCCACCAACACACCTGGCCAGGCATGCACATCGTATTCTCAGATCACATCCATAGTCCGTGTCTTCAACACAGACAAGAATTATGGGCCGATTTAAGATGTAAGAATTACTTAATAAGAAAACCTGAGCTAATAGGCCAACCATTATAATTATAATTAATTGTAATTAATGTAGACCTCTGTGTGTTTCTTTGGGGCTGACTAGCTGCGGGACCAGGCAGGACAGAAACCTCTGTCAACACCTCCCACTCCCTCTTCCTCCTCCACTTCTTAGTGAATTTCAAAGAACCTTAAAGCAGGTCAGGAACTGTAGAACCTGTGTTTAATTTCACCCAGGAATCTCACTATTAAGGCATTTTTGTTGCTTGATATTATAGGACTATTTGTGTTATATTTATTCAAGAATTGATAAAGACAGCAAACCTCCAAGTAGTTTGCTTCAACTATGTGTACTTTTCACAATATAGAGAGCCAGATGGAGTGATTCGGCCGTGAGTCTCAGCACTTGGTTGGCAAAGGCAGGAAGGTCACAAGGACCACCTGAGCAACATAGTGGTTGTTATCAACTGTGGCTATTCCCTGGTTGACCCAAAGACCAACTGGTAAGACCAGAGGCACAAAGGGAACACACTGCCCAGAGCATCAGTGTTTAGCTTAAGGTGAGCACCAGCAGTTATTCACTTGGACATTCATCCCCAGGCCCTGCCTGTGTCCACAAAGGAGACAGCCATAGCAGCTTTAAACAGAATGCTGTAGGACCCACCTCCAGGGGATGGATAGCTCATCACAATTTGCCTGTGCTGTGCCAGGTGCCATTCACTGAGGTGTCAGCCAAGGCGAGGCACCCGGACTTCCTCTAGAGTCGACAAGAAGAGTGAACCACACCTCCAGGACTCAGCAGCCATTCTCACAGCTTGAATATGTCAGGCTCTCCTGGGACATTTACAGGGAAAACACAGATTCTAGGATTTTAGTTCCTTAGATGGCAGGGGTCTCCCTTTCTATCAAACACTAAAGATCATTTTCTTGGGAAGGGTGATGGTCTATGAAATATAGTTAGCTACTGAGAGTCTGATGAAGATGGTCACAAATACTGTTTACAACAGAAGACCAGGATCTCTGTACTGCAGAAGGCCTAGTGTTGGCCTTCTACCCAAGCCCCTGGACAGGAAGCCTTCCAGTAGATTTGTGCATATGCAGCCCTTTTGAAAGTAAACTCAATACCCCAGAATTCCTTGCCCCAGGGCCCACTTACAGTCCCCACTGAAGCCGTCTTCATAATAACCCAATGTGCTCATTTCTTAGTCCAGATATAGGTGAGGGGCAGCTTCAGTCCTAGGACACCATCCCTTACCTTTCTTTGTTTCTTTGTGCAACCAAAAAATTGCGCTGCTTTCTTAGGTCAACAGTACCCAAAGAGGCATTAGGCATCACCTTTCATTTTAAGAAACTGAGTCCTCAGCCCATAGTTAATTTTCTGTAGTTTACATCATCTGATAAAGGGCTACATTTTGTTAGAGCAAAGGAAAACCACAGCTTTCCAAACAACTGAGAAGTTGTGGTTCTTCTGCCGTGCCCCTCGTCTGTAACAGCCAGGAAGAAGGAAGACACGTGCTCCATAATATTTCCTCAGAGGGATCTGGGGAAGAAAAGGGAAAGGAAGAGATTAACTGAACTCAGCACTCAGAGCTGTAAATCATGTGTTGCAAAATGGCGATGGGATGTTGCATCAGAGCATGGCGGTTGTGATACGGCCTCTGGGCCGCACACCCTGAGGAGTTGATATTCTGTACCTTTCTGCTGAAGATTCGGGGCTGAGTTTAGTTAGGTTCCCTCTGTTATGCCAAGGGGCCACACGTTACTTGAGTTTCATTGTCCCTCTGTATATTTTTCTTCTCTTGCTGAGGGCAGGGGCGTTTCTTTATAGCTGCAAGAATGCCTGGACCAGATAGTCGCTGCACCGAACTTGGTATCCCTGGTTCCTGTTAATGTGTCTTCATTTCTTCCTGGAAGTCTTGTCAGGAAAGCTGGGAGGCAGGGTGGCGAGGCTGCCACGGCTTCTCTCTCAGAACCGTTAGTTTTGAAAGTGTTTGTAACATTTCCTGCCCATTTTGCATTGCCTTTATCTCAAGATTTGAAAGATAGTGACTAGGAGTTTGTCACGGAGAACGTAGAGCAAGGATAAAGGAGTGTTGAGGGTCGGAGCGTTAAGTGTATCATAGCGTGCCCTTTAATATTGAGATATTTGATGGCTAATTAATTGGGTTTTTTTCTGTTCTTAATTCTCCTTTTTTTTAGTAGGGGAAAAAGGTACAGTATACAGGACAAATGAAAGAATGTCAAAATTAGCATTGTGTCTGCAGCATAAATTCTCAAGGACAGGGTGGGTGTCTGCACAGTAGGGTGTTTGTGCTCGGGTGGTGCTGAGTGTGGGGCTTTGATGGGATTTAAGCAGAGCAGCAGCTGACCTGATAAAGGCAAGCACTTTTGGAGAGTATAGTTTAGGGTCAGAAGAGCTAACAATTTCCTGACTCTAAACTCAAGACTTAGACGTGATCCATAGAAACTACAGATGGCTTTTTACCTTTTTACTTTCTCAGCCCTGAAAACCTCTAGGGAGAGAACATAGGTCTGGCTTCTTCCAAAGAAGAAGGGAAGGGAAAAGAACCCCTTGAGAAGCAGTCGTTCCTTCCTAAAGAGAAGCAAGGAGAGAGCAGAGCTGATACACAGGCTGGTCTTTCAGAATTGGAGACCGCCTCATATTCCAGACTGGCCTCAAGCTTGTTTGTAGTTGAGAATATCATTAACCCCTACTACTCCTGCCCCCACCTCCCAGTGCTACGATCACGAGGTGTACCACCAAGCCTGGCTTATGAGGTGTGGGGATAGAATACATAGTTTTGTGTCTGCTGGGGAAGCACTCAGCCAGCTGAGTTAGCCCCAGCTCGAAGACTCAAAAATTTAATGATTTCTGACTCATTTTTATCATTTACAGAATTATGGTAACATGCTTTCAAGATGATGTGTGTACTAGTGAAGAGTATGGTCTTGAGGTTCATAGCTCCTAACAATACAGCTGATACGAAGGTGACTTGGCTGGCTGGCTGCTTTACCTCACCATAAACCAAGGACAGAATGGTATAATTTATAATGCAGCCAGGCTGTCTGTGATGTGTGTAGAAATCAGGTGATGTATACATGGAGTTCCTAGTATGTTCAGTACAGTAAATGTTTACTTGAAATTGAAGCTCTGCTATTAACTGTGAAACCTCAGCAGGTTCCTCCCAAGGTTCCATTTCCTAATTGGTTGAACAAGAATAATAAAATCTAGTACATAAGACTGTCAGAGTCAGAATAAGTGATGTCCCGTTAGAAAGCATTCAAAATCATTGTGTCTTTAAGTAAATAGATCAAAATATTGTCTTTCTTGAACACAATTATATGCTTTTTCATGGGAAAGTTGTGTTTGCCTTGGTTTGAATATATCCAGTAATCTGGATTTTGTTTTCAACAGCTCAGGTGCCTAAAAGGCCAGAGGAACTTCTCCAGCCAACCACCTTTTGATGGAATCCACATCGTCAACCATTTGATAGGAGAGGATGAGTCCTTCCCCTCCTCAGACGAAGAGTTCATGGATGGTTCCTTACAGGAAAGTGGTCTTGTGTTTCCTTTGCATGGAAAGTCTGGCTCCGTGTCTCTGGATCCGGCTTTGGCAGACGGCAGCGAGAGCGATGCAGAAGACGGCGTGCTGGGAGCACAGCCCAGGGACCACGGAGTTCCAGAGGGGCAGCCCCCACAGAGAGAGCCCTACTCCACTACTGTCTGACCATCACTGTGACAGCCTGAGCCGAGATCGGGGCCCACCCTCTGTCCTGTGTGTGTGTATGTATATATATGTCTGTTTTTTACAGCCTCACATGACTGCCAAATGTTCACTGAATTTCCATTGCCATAGTAGACTGGAGTATGCTAATTGGTAAATGGAGTTCTAACAGTATTACAGAATATTAACTTTTCATATTTAGAAAATACTGCTATGTCTAAATGTAAGAACCATTGTAAAATTCAGAACTGTGGGAAATTGGATTTTCTTTAAACAAAACTGCTCTTGTGCAATATTCTATCCTCACTGATCACACTGCACAATGGTGTTCCTCATTCTGTCTCCAAGGTGGCTCCTCTAGACATCCAGCCAAAACAGAGATCATTTAACTTGTGTTTTGAGGATATTTTTTTTCACTAAAATTGCAGCTCTGTCACTGAACATTGTCAAACAACTTTTTTCTGTATAATTTCTAAACACAAAGTAATTGTCGTCTGTTCTGAAAGGTTTTTTGTTTCAGTTTCTACGTGTTATGTGTATCATACTTCTGTGTGTCGGAATAGTAGCAGGCTAGCTGCAGATATATTACTTGTACATACTTATAAGTCTGTATCGCCCAGCATCGGACATCCTCTTACACGAGGAGCAAACGTTGACAGTGACCATTGCCAGCATTCTAACAGGACTTCTGTAAATAGCAGGGTAAAGAAACTAAACACGGACCAGACACTACTGTTGGAGCAGCTGTGGCAGCCTGTACTCAGCAGACTCCTGACTGCTCGCTGTTCAAACACTACTGGTGAAGTCCTTGACTCCATCCGTGACTAATAAACTTTGCGATCAAAGAGGTTATAGCACATGCTAGTTCATGCTAATCTATTTAATGTAATTTAGCACTAGAATAAGTTCCAAGATGCACAACAAATATATCTGGAGGGAGGGGAATCTATGAGTATTTAAATTCTCTAGTTTCTAATTGACAGGTAAAGCCATAAGAACCCTTTCTTCCTAGTTGTTTCTTTGTATTATTTAGACTTTTTCTCTAGAAAACTGAACGCTTGTTATTTGTAAATTGAGAAACGATACTCACCTGTGGAGAGGCTGCCGGCCTGTGTTGACTGGATGTTTTCCACCCTCAGTTTTTAGTAGCCTGAGCCATAGAGGAAGATCGAATGTAGTGTGTTTGGAAGTACATTTTTGCACAGAGTGTTACATATGCAAAGAAAAATGTTTTATAAAATGGAGTAGAAGAAACAAGTAGTTTACTTTCTGAAACTATATAATGCCTTATGCTGCATCGTGGGCTAGGCTTTCCCAGCAAGGGTGTCTTAGCTGCTCTCTTGCCTAACAGACGGGATTGAAAACATACCTTCTGTTTCAAGAGCACCCACTAAATTTTAGTATTTAATTTACCTGTAATTACAAGCTAGTTATTTAACAGAGCTAAAATATTAATTCGGATCTCTCTCGACTTCTAGAGGTCTAGCAAAAAGTTTTTCAGTTCCCTCTCTCTGGCAGTTTACATCAATAATTTTCATTTCAGTCTGTTTCCTAAGTATCTCTTGGGTGTTCATCGGCACCAGTAGTCAAGTCTCTCGGTGAAAATGCGTAACAGCACCGGCAGAGGATGGCTCGTTCTTTAGGGCTCTGCTGTGGTCCTGTACTGTTAGCCCAAGAGGCCATCAATAGCCCAGTGACGTAAGAGGAGTTATAGCCCTGCTTTTTATCTAGACCCCCCCTCATCAAGAAACCTCAGTGGAACTAGAGGTGTAGTTGGAAGTTAGAGTGTTTACCTAAAATGCCCAAGACCCTGTGTTCAGTTCCAAGCCCCACCCAAAGACGGAAAAGCTCAGAAAATTTCCTAGTATTCTCTCTAGTTTAGAACTAGGAGTAAAAGAACCCTGGTCATTAAACCTTAATTCATTAATGCTCTTGTGATTTGCACAGTGGAAAATTAGAAGCAACATCCTCTCCAGAGCTTTGAGTCAAGCCAGGTACAGTGGTGCACATCTGTAGTCCCAGCTACTGGGGACTGGCCTGGGGAACACAGTAAGATGTTATCTCAAAAAAAAATTTTTTTAAGTTCATATATGCCTTAGATATAAACCTTCCTGGGTTTTAGGGTCCAGTAGGGTAATGCGCCCTGATCCGGCTCCATTTTGTTCAGATTAATGTAAGTATATTGTTCAAGACTTTGAAGCATTAGACTGTGTCCCTACTGATGAACTGTTTGTCTTGATGAATTGAAAGACGTTTTGTGGGAACAAATGGGATGACAGATGATGGGAAACCTTGCTCTCTTGGGACAGTGGCCTTCCTGCTGCCCTTTTCCCCACTGCTGAGGACGGAGTCCCGGGCCTTACACATGTGGGCAAGCTCTCTACCCCTGAGCCACAGCCGGGTCTGACGTCTTCAAAATCAGCATATACATTTTCTTTATGGAAAATGAGACCAAAGATTTTGTTTGACACAACTTCTACTCTGGTTCTTGTTTGGATTGTTTGTTTTGGTTCGTCTTTATTTTGCTTGGCCAGTTGGCAGCCACTCAGCACTTGCTGATTGAAACATCATATTCCAGCTAACTGGCTATTTATGTTGAAGAAACAACCTTTCCCAGCCCTGAGCACGATGCAGCTTGTTAATTTCCAGGCAGTGCCTTTGACTGAAAATAATGTCTGCTGCTTTTGAAGAATATTATTCCTGGCATCAGAAGAGGTAATTTGGTTCCTCATTCATTGTTTGCATAATGCACTATAATATTCAAATTTTTAAAAATTAAGGATATCAATTATGTTTTGTTAAGCTTCTCATGGCAAGTGTGGCTATTACATAGCACCAAGACATCCATGACCAACATTTGTAGAATTAATTTCCTTACTAAATAATGAGTTTTAGCCTGAGAGTTTTTGCTGCTCTAGATTAACAAACAATTATAATTTAAAATTAATTTCTTTTTAATTCTAAAATTAATTAAAATTTCTGGTTGAAAGTAGGGTATATGCTATTTAAAATCCAGATTTTTACAGCACATCCATAGATCTGTGTAGCTCTTCGCTTCAGAGAAGAGACAGTAATACCTTGGACATGCAGAGTCATAAATGCACTTCATTGTACCGTTGGGTTTTTTTTATTGTAACACTGTATGATGATAACCTAATGTTTACTTGTGCCTTTGCTTTAAATAATTAAAATTTCTCATTTTGCAAGACATTATTTCCTTAAATTATTAAGAAGGAAGTGGTGTCAAGGTACTACTGAAGAACATTTGACCACAGAGAAGATTAGTAGTGCTGAGGTCTGTGTTTCCTCAATGGGGGTTGTCACAAGCACCTGCTCTACATACAGAGTACCAAGCAGTCTGATTGAGTTTGACATCCAGTAGATATTTTCAGTTTCATAAACAGCCAGATGTCTAGATTGTTTCCTCCCTGAAGTTGGCATTTGTTTTAATTATCAGTGGCAGCGTTTTCATCACAACTGTAGGTTAGGTTATTGAAGGCATCGGAAGCGGCCATGCACGGTCCGGCACTTAATGAAGATACATGAAGTTTAGAGAGTTATAATCCATACTTCTTTACCGGAACTGTTAGCATTTGGATTCTGTTTTTGTTGCAGAACATCCTGCATATTGTAAGATGTTTGCAGTATCATAGCCTCTACCCACTGGATGCCAGTAGCACCCATGCCTTCAATGGAGACAAAATATCTCCAGGTATGGGGAGCTGAGAAGGATCAGAGTGAGTGAGGTCCGAGTGAACGGGTACAGTTGACATGGGCTCAACCTTGTCAAGGACCCCAAACCTTCAGACCCACAAGAAAAAGGCAAAGCTCCTTCCTCTGTGGTGCGCGTATTACAGAAGTGTCAAACTCCACCTTCAGACCCAGGTGTGGATGCTGATAGTGTGTACAGAAAACATCCACCATGGCCTTCTCCCTCCGGTCGTTCATGGCCTCAGATGGCTTCCCTACCGAGACTCTTCCTGATCCATCTGTGTGTTATAGCCCATGCTTCGCTTATCTGTATGTAACAACTCCGCCTCTCTGCTCAGCCGTCTACAGTAAACATGCTGAGCTTCTAGGGTGCTGAGGTTTCTCCACCAGAGGCCAGTCCTCTCGGCTCCACTCTTCTGTGTTTGCCTTTGACTTCATTTCCCCACCATTCAGCCAGGTCTGTCCCTGGAGCCATGCAAAAGATGTGGCTTTCAGACATTGTCACAAAGAGGACAGAATAAAAGTCAGCCTTTGGTCGAGAAATGCTTAGAAATTTAGAAGCATATGAAGAAAGTCAGTGCACTTCAGTATAAGAACATATGTACCCCTTGAAGACACAGGGAAAATTAGCATCTATTTCTAGTAGTCAGTGGAAAGGAAAAGGTGTGTACCACAGTAGGTACCATCTCCCATCTGTTAGGAGGCGTGGAGGCATGTACCAGCCCTAGCTCTCAGGGTTCTGAGGCAGGAAGATTGTTCTAGCCCAGAAATTTGAGATTTGAGACAAACCTGAATAACTTAGGCAAACCCCATCTTGAAAGAAAAAGAAAGGGAAAGTAAAAGATTGGCAGTGGTGTAGGAAAAAAAAAGGAGTCTGTGAGTCACTCCTGTAACTACTGTGGAGAACAGTACTTTTGGGAAGAATTAAACTGTTACTATGTAACCCAGCAGGTCTAAATAAATACTTGAAGCAGGGACTCACACTTAATCTACAATGCCCACAGCAGGAGCATTGGCTGAAAAATGCTACTGCTGTTTGTCAACAGCTGAATGGAGGTTGGGTGTGCATGGTGTATGCTTACAAGGGAGTTGTATTCATAGAAACACCAACAACTGAAGTTCTGATACATTGTACAATAAAAGATGGACCTTGAAAACACTGTAGCAAAGTAGCCAGATAGACCTGGTCCTTTTGGAGTAGACATTTTACCAGGATGTGGGATAGCCCAAGAGGTTATTATCTCATGGTTACAAAGCTGCTATTTGGAATGATGAAAAAGTTCTGGGGATGAATAGTGCTGATGTTTGTACAGTCTTGAAATGTGCCTGTTTCCGTTTGGATGTGAAATTTCCCCTTCCCAGGCTTATGTGTTTGAATGATTGGTCCCTGGGTAATGGTACTGTTTTGGAAAATAGTATAACCTGTGTGTAATGGGGCCTTGCTGGAGGAAACTGAGAGGCAGGACTTGAGGGTGTGATGGTGTCCTATGGAGTCAGAGATCTCTGCTCCCTGGTCCACCAGAATGTGAAGAGTCACCAGCACTACTTTACTCCCGCCATGGACTAATCCGACCGTGAGCCCAATACGCACTGCTTCCTTTGAGTTGCTTCTTGAGGAGTATTTTGGTCATGACAGTGTGTGAGTAATAAGTACAGAAAGTTGGCACCAAGAGGTGAGTTTGTTGCTAGATCAACGTGATCTAGTGACTTTTAGGATCTTGAGACTTGTTCACAGGAGGAATGTGAACAGGTTGGAGCTGCAGGGTGGAGTACTGTTAGTCGAGCCTCACTGGCCATGATGGAAACACTTAAGATGAGAATGCAAATGAAAAGATGAACAGGAAAGGTCAGCCAGGCTCCAGGCTTCGCAGGGGAGCAAGGACTCTTAGCCAGGACCTAGCCAGAGGCCATTCATGTGACATGCTGGAGAAGAACATGGCCACATGTAGCCGTGTCCTGAATTGGTGAATTGAAGTTAATGGCTAAATTGTTGTCTGGGGGGCTTTCATCCAAGGCAGCAAAGCATTTAGGCTGTGGCATGGTCTCTGCTCACTTTGACAAAGGGAGAAAGAAACAGAACAATGTGGAAAACATGCAGTTTCATTCAAAAAGAGTACAAACCCAGTAGCAGACCAAGCAGCTGTAGGCAAAGCTGTAATTACTAAAGAAACATGGATATGGTGTCTTGAGGATGAGGCTTCACCAATGGAAGGTATAAGAGTATGAGAATATAAACCCATTTTTAAATTTTCTATTTAGAAAGAGTACCTGAGAAAACAGCCTCCAAAATATCTTTGCTCCAGCCTGGCCACTGAGAAATCTGTTACCTACTTCAGTTGCACAGGTTCTTAAAGGTCACTGCAATTATGGCCCGAGATGGCCAGGCCATACCAAACTTCAGGAGAGCTTGTCATTCTCATGGTGCTGGTTCTGCAGGTATGCAGGTTGCTAGTGATGGGCTAATGGAGAGCATGTCTTGGTTCCACAGAAGCAGCTGGGTGGTGTGTAGCAAGGATGGCTCTGCAGTGCCAGTTCGTGAAGCTGAGCAGGTGAAGGGTAAGCTTCAGCGGAGATGCCAGGACAGTGGAGATTCCAAGGGGAGCTACACGCACCAAATGGAGTTAGCTCAAGAGAGAGGCGCGAGTGCTTCAGGCCATAGGATGGAGCTTGCGGGGCTCTCAGAACGGACTTTGGATTTTGAACAGTGTTGGAGTTAGTACTTCAGGGACTTTTACCAATGAGTAGTGGCACATACCTGCAATTTCAGTAGTGATAGGAGGACCACTGAAAGTTCACGGCCAGCCTGATGTATGTCGTAAGTCTCAGGTCAGCCAAGGCTGTATGGGGAAATCCTGTCTTGGAGGGCAGGGTGGAGAGAAAAACAAGTACTGTAGTGGTGCGGGAGAATTGTCTGTATTCTGTCAATCATGTATTTTAATAAAACGCTGATTGGCCAGGCAGGAAGTAGAGGCAGGTCAACCAGACAGGAAGTAGAGGCGGGGCAATGAGAATAATAGAAGGCTAGAGAGGGGGAAGCTCCCTCCGCCACTCCTACGCAGACCACTGAAGAGACAGGATGTAACCTGCACAGCTGAGAAAGGTACTGAGCCCTGTGGCTTACGTAGATAAGGATAATGGGGTAACAAAAGTTGTAAGAGCTAATAAGTAGCCTGACCTAATGGGCTAATCAGCTTTATAACTTATAGAGATCTCTGTGTGATTGATTTTCTCTGGGACTTGCTGGTTGTGGGGTACCAGGCGGGGACAGATACCCCAACAAGCTGGCCTTCATGTTACACTGTAGGGATCTTAAAAGTTGAGTGTATTTTTCTTTAAGAGATGACCATAAGCTTTGAAGGCCAGAGGCAGAACACTACAGCTTGGATATGAAAATGTACCCCATGGGCTCACATGTTTGAACACTTGGTCCCCAGCTGGTGGTGTTGACCTTAACCATTGGCCTTCCCCGCCATGGACTGTGCCTTTTCACACTGTGAGCCAAAAAGACTCAAGTGCTATGTGTGTTTAGAATGTAAAGTCAGCTTATAAACAAAAGACATTTAAAAGGAAAAATAAAACCTGAAGTGATGTGGGATTCCCCTCTGTATGCTATGAATATGTTTTATTGCCATTGGTTATTAAAGAAGCTGTTTTGGGCAATGACTTAGTAGAGTAAAGCCAGGCAGTACATCTGAACAGAGATATAGAGAGAAAATAGGCCGAGTCAACGAGATGCCATGTAGCTGCTGGAGGAGAAAGACGCCAGCTGTAGGCCACAACCTCATGGTGATTCACAGATTAATAGAAATTGGTTAATTTAAGATGTAAGAGTTAGCTAGAAATATACATAAGCTGTTAGCCAAGCAATGTTGTAATTAATATAGTTTCTATGTGATTATTCATATCCGGGTGGCCAGGAAATGAACGAGCAGTCTCCCTTTTCACTGAAGTTACAAAATTTACAGCATTCGCAAAAGTTTAAAAGTGATTAAACAAGCCAGGTATAGCAACCCGTCAGTAATCCTCGCATTCTCGAAGTGAAGACAGACCAAGAGTTCAATGGTACACTCAGCGACTAGGCAACTTTAATGCAGCCTAGGCTACACAAGCCCTTGCCTCAACAACAGCGGTAATAATTTGGCATAGAATGCTGGCACTAAACTGGTGCTTAGGTTTTGTGTCAGTTGAACCTGGACAAATCTCAGAAGGATGCATGCGTGTGTGTGTGTGTGTGTGTGTGTGTGTGTGTGTGTGCGCGCGCGCGCGCGTCAGAAGTGCCTGTGGAGTTCACAGCTTCTTCTTTACTGTCATTCCCTGCCTTACTTAAAGCACAGTCTCTCACTGAACCTGGAGCTCACCCCCAATGACTCCAGATCACAGAAGAGAATTTTATGGCCCCTCCAAGATCATCTGTCCTGACATGTCTCTCGCCAGATCCCACAAGGCTGGCCTGGCTCCTATTTCCTTCGGGACCCTGCTTGAGTATCACCTCCAGGA